CTAACGTTAGCTGAGAAGTTCCTGGCGGCCAGGCGGTTTGCTTTGTGTCCTACGTGTGTTTTTTTAATTGAATTGCCAAAACAGCATAATCATGTTATTGTCACCTTCCTTTGACAAATAAGGTTACTGTCACATAAATGAGCATCTACAAGAACCAGAGAAACATAAAGATTCACATGACCCAGAAATAGCTGGCACATGGCAGGAGAGTTTGAAAGCTCAGCTTTAGAGAAACTGAACAGAGGTGGCTTCTGATTTGAATGAAATTGAAGGTGTGGCCATGGAGGTGAGTGGAGATGGTGTACTAAATAGTGTATTAAAAGGAAAAGAGGACAGAGGAAGTAGAAATTGAACGATTTAAGAGACTAGGGGGACACCATTGACATTTCAATGAAAACTGGGAGAAGTGAGATTGATGGGGGATGTTGAGAAGAGAAGGGGGACCTGGTCAAACACGCCTATCTGAAAAGGCAGGCAAGGGGTAGGGTAGAGAAAGCAAATGATGGCCACCCAAAATAAATCATCCACCATCCAGGACTTCCCCAGAGCCCTGTTTCCTTAGGGGCAGGAACATTTTGCCACACACTGAGTTCCCCACCTGTGAGGGAAAGGGGGACTAGAGAATCTGGGAAGGTCGGCAATACGGAGACAGGGCACCATGAGCTGGAAGGAACACAGACTGAAAATCACAACACCTGGTTCTGATCCTGGCTTTGTCTATAACTTCTCTAAACCCTCGCTTGTCTGTTAATATCTCAAGACCTAAGTTTTCTTATGTGAAATACAGAGAGAGCAAAACCTGCTTTACTTCAGGTGAAATTCTATATGTGAAAACACTTGGCTAATACTAAAGCACTAAGCAAATCCAAGAAAACGATACGAACATATACACAGCTGCTAATTACTGAGTAATTCTTAGTTGCCAATCACTTGTAAATGATTTCATTTAATGCTCAAAATCATACAAGGTATATATTATTATTATCCTCATCTTAAACATGAGGAAACTAAGGCTTAAACCTCTGAGACTTTAAACACCCAAATCAAACAACCTGTAAAGCAGTAAACTCAGAATCTGGAGCCTGGTCTGACCTAAATCCCATGCTTCACTCAGGCTGCTAAACTAGAACATTTCTAATTTCAACCTGACCCCAAGGAGCATGGACCAGGCAGATTGTACCTTCTGCCACAGACATCCTGGTGATCTCCCCACTGGCCGAGGGCTTTCTAAGTCCCTTTTCCTTCCTACCTTGGAGGAGCAGCTGCTTGTTTCCAGGGTCAACGCCGGCTGGGAAGTTCTGGTTAACAGAGGAGGGGCTGAGGCTGGCTTTGCCAGCACCACTATCCAGCTGCTGTTGCAGCTGCAGTCGCAGACAATTGTTCCCCTGAATGCTCTGCTCCAGCTGCCCTCTCAGAGCTCGTACCTCTGCCACCAGGTGGCTCAGGTCACTGCTCAAAGGGATTTGGTGACAGGCATCCAGGCTGTAAGCTAAGAGAGAAGAAGAGTCTGGTAACATTGACCCAAGTATTTCCAAGCACTTGTCAGAACCCTCCTCTGTGACATTCTTTTCTGCCAAGGATCCCACTATCATCTGAGTCTCATGCAACCCATCTATGATAGAGATGTCACCATTTCTGTGTGTGGCCTGGGGATGGCACTGAGCTGGCACACATCCAGTTTGAAACTTCCCTGTGGTTTAAGTTAGACACATGCACCCAAACAGCATTTGACTGACAGATGAGGATAATTGAGCTAGAGAAGGGTAGGGGATGAGGGAGAAAGAGATTTGACAGTCTTCACTCTCAAAAATGAAAAAGGAGAAGGAGGTCTTTTGGTAGCGTGTGAGAATGTGAGTTGGGCACCTTAGACCAGGGATTATAACTGAGTTTTTCAATTTCTCTCTCTCTCTCTCTCTCTCTGTATAGATATGTGTATGTGTGTGTGTATGTATGTGTACATATATATGCCTACTTATAGTGTGTATATATGTTGTGTGTGTATATACATACTATATAGGTGTATATATACACATATATACATGTACATATATGTACACACATATATACACATATATATACACACATATATAAAAAATATATATGTATATTTACCTCCATTCACTACATGTCTATTTCTTTGTACTGGGGATGAAGAGATCTAAGAAATATTCTACAAGGCCACAATCCCTTATCTGAAAACCTTAATGCCAAATATATTTTGAAAGGTAAAATTTGTTTTAGTTTTTAGCAAGGCAACAGGGTGCATATATCATATATAACATGTACCCAGTTGCATGTGAGCCACAATCCTTAATCAAACATATAACTATTTCTGCAATCAGCTATGTCAATATTCTAAGTAGATAAATACTTAGGAATATCCTCTTGTCAGTTCATCTAGATTTTGTCACTAAATGAGTATTTGAAAAATTTAATTTGGCGATCTTACTGAATTTTGAAATTACAGAGAAGAGATCATGGAGCTTTAGTGGTTGCAGCTTTGAAATGAGTCCTAAAAGGCAGGGAGAAAAGCATGAAAGGAAAGGTAGCTCAGGATGAAGTAGTTTTAGAGACTTTGGTAAATAATCTACTCTTGAATTCTGCCCAAAGTTTTATGATGTTCCTCTCTCTCTTCCTCAATCCAACTTCTCACTAAATTTTGCTAAAGAGATGTTTTTAAATCTATCTATACTCTTTCGTCTTCCCAATAGCACCTTATATTAGACTGTCATGTCTTCATGTGCCAGAATAGCGCTAGACTCATCCAGTAGGTTTCCCAGATTCTAGTGTCTCCCAACTCCAGGACATCCCCTGAGACTCAGCATCTTAAAGTTCTGTTTTCATCATATGCTTATCTTCTTTGAAAGAGAACAGACTTAGTTTAATTATCTACTATACAGAATGTCGACTTTCACACTGACCTGTGGGCTTTCAAGATTTGGGGACTCTGCTCCTCCATCCTGACTTCTCACGCCCCCAACCCGAAGCTTTCCTGTGGGCAGGCTGGTCCCACTGACCCAGCACTCACCATGACTTTGTACTTAAGCTATTCTCCCAGCCTGGTGAGCCCCCTGTATTTCTTCAAGTTCCAGTTCACCTTCTCGTTAGAAAATCAGGAAACTAAATCAGGATTTATGATAATTCCAATCTAAATTCCACTGACCTTCACCCTTTGTCTAGCCCTCTGAAGGGACATAAAATATACATGAGTTTTTTTCACCCGACAGTTCTTCAAATACCCGAAGCCAGTTCTTATGTCCTCAAGATCTTTTGAAAGCCTAAATTTCTTTAGTTTCTTTGACCAGTTGGAGATTTCTGGTCCACACCATTGTGCGCCCTGTGTTCATTATGTTCCCTAGTGTGTCAATGCCCTTTTCAAAGATGGTGCCCCTTAATCTAACAATATTTTAGACATGGTCCCCACAGGTGAACATCACACTTACACTACTGTAATGTCAGTTTGAGCTGGCATTTCTAGCAAACTTTGGCCTACGCCTTAGTTGTGTGAACATGTTTCTACCAAACCCCAAACCCTCAAGTCCATGAACTGCTGCCTGTCCTATATTTCTACCCTCATCCTATATTTCTATCACTGATATTTTTCATCGAGCTCAGGATTTTGCTTTTTATCTTTGCTAAATTTCATGACATTGATGTCAGTCCTCTGTTCAGCCTGCTGTGACTTATTATGTTTCAAGTACCCTTCTCCATTTAAAAAAGAATGAAGAAATATATCAAAATTCTCAAATATTAGATTATTATTTCAGCAGGCAGCAAAGTCTTCAATAAATGTCCTTACTATTTAAGTCCAGGAGTGAAATTTAGGTCCTATTAGTGGTATTTCTATAAGGTTTTTTTGTTTTTGTGTCTCTTAATTTTTTCCTGTGGGCAGGCTGGTCCCCACTGACTCAACACTCACCACGACTTTGTACTTAAGCTATTCACCCAGCCTGGTAAGCCGCTGTATTTCTTCACATTCCAGTTCACCTTCTCTTTAGAAAATCAGGAAACTAAATCAGGACTTATGAAAATTAAATGAAATAAACTGAGAGCCAGATGTCACTACGGAAAGGGTAATGGTGGGAGCAGACTGCCTGCTGCATTGGGCTGAATGGGTTGTCAGTATGTATTACCGACAATATTAAAGGCCTTTTCAAATTGTGATATCATTAGGACAGTTCTTTTGCTTTAAAAATGTTATAATCTAGACATTGATAGGAATGTCTAGATTTTCTTACAGTAATTAGGAATGATCAGGCTGGATCTTGCTCATGCCACCAACCTGTCCCCTTGAGCTTTGTGTATGAGAGTTCCTACTGGGAGCCCCAGGCTCGGGTGGGGGTTTCTGAGACAGAACTCTGTCACTTCCCATGATCTCCACAACTCCCAAAGGAAAGACCTAAGACCTCACTAGCATCCAATGCAAGGGCAAAAAGCTCATGGGGTGAGAGGAGAAGAACACATACCTTTCAGCCCCTTCTTGGAATTGCCATAAAGTGCTTCGTAGATTTGTAGCTCTGACTGGAGGGACTCAAAGAGCTGCTGTTTCTCTTCACACTGTTGCTGCAGGAGGACCAGCTTGTGCTGCAGTCTGACCAGGGAGAGGCAAGCACTGAGATGGCAGAGCCACTCAGTCACACCAGAGCAATAAGCTGAGAGCCAGATGTCAACTCAGGGGGTCATAAAGATTACGGTTAGGGTTACATCTGAGCCCCAGATGTCAACTCAGGGAGTCATGAAGACCATCACTTTTATTTTGCAGATGTGGAAATGGAGGCTAAGGGAGGTCAAGTAACTTTGCTTGAAAACACACCATTACCTACATTAGTTCAGAGCAGAACAGACACACCAGCAGTCTCCTTACTGCTCCTACAGTGCTCTTTGCATTCTGACAAGCAGTTACAGGGCTTATGCTGGGACCAAGCATCACAGGCAGTATAGAAGCTTCCTAGGTGATGGTGAGACTAATGTCCTATATCTAACTGAAAGCATGGGAACCCTTCTTTTTCATGTCTCTCATATACGGAAGACTTCTACAACAGAGTTTTACTCTCTCAACTTGGGAGTGACAAGGCATTCCCAGAGAAGTCCTTTCTTCTGCTTAAAGCGCCTCACCCCCCTACTGGCACACAAAAATCAGGAATAGCAGAGGGAACACTGAGGTTTCCAAAAGAGGACACCAATTGTCTTGCCAATATCCCATCTTCTAATGTAAGAATGAACGTAAGAATGAAGAATGCTTCCTTCTCTGTCAGTGGGTCCCCTCTTACCTGGAGTCGTTTTCCTGGAGGGAAAGACGTTCCTCCCTGAAATGCAAGACCTCTTGCTGCTTCTCCCTCAAGTCTTCCAAAAGCTGCTGCCTTTCCACCTTCTGGTGCTCCAGCTCCTTTTCCAGCTCTTGAAGGTGGGATCGAGAGGACAGCAGAGCCTCCTTCAGGCTTTCCGTTTCCTGGGAGTGCTCTGGTGAGAGGAACACAGGAGGATTGATTTATTATGATGGGGCCAGAGCTCAGCAGAAAGATGACCCCAAGCACATACACCCTGAAACAAAGCTAAGAAGCAAGGAAGGAAGGTCCTATGTTGGTGGGGAAGAGCATACTGGCTCAACATATCCCGCAGCCTGGAGAATGGTGCATTTCTCTCTTTGCAAAACCCTTCATTCCACTTATTTAATCTGTCCTACCTTGCTCTTAGAGAAATTCTGGTTTCTAATGCTCACCATTTTCCAGGTGCTCATATACCATCTGTTCAATAATCCATTCTTGAATTTTGACATAGATCAACATCAAGATTTCTTTTCGGAATATATCATTTTCATTATTTTGAAAACTGGGATATTTGTTCTTTTTTGGAACTTGCAGCAGTTCTCTGATCTTCACAAGTTGTCAAAGATTATTGAAGGGACTCTGAAAATACAGCTGCAGGCTCAGTAATCCTCTGGGGAAAGATTCACCTAAGCCTGGAAAATTGTACTCATTTAAATCTCTTACTGTCTTCTCACCTGTGAGGTCTGTTCTATTCTCTCCAAGCATGCAATGGTAGCTCAGTAGTTCTGACTTCTTTCTTATCTGTTAACTTTTGTTATCATCCCCCAGCAGTGACCTTTCCTCTTAACTCTTCTTGCTAATATAGAAATCAATTAATTAAATTTAATTAAGGTGGCTAATTTAGAAATATCTCTTGGTGGCTTTTTCCTTTTCCACAAACATTCCTTCGTTCTGGGCTTAATCCTTTTGGACACTACTCTTAGTCTTTTTATGGCTGTTCAATATGTTATTAATAATACATTGATCTGATCAAGTAGACTAACACCAAGGTCAGCAGCCTCCCAGCCACATGAGAAATGATGCCCACCTGTGAGCGCCCCCTGGCTAGGGCTGGGAAAGTGCTGGAGGGAATTTGCTAGTGCCACTTGGCACGGAGTCATAGGAGTACTGACCAGAGAGGAGCCCTGAGTGTATGAGTGAGGGATGTGGTGAGGAGGCAGAGGGATGGCAGAGCAGGGCCAGGAGGGACACACACTGCTGCAGTAAAGTCTGGAGAAGCTTGAGAGGGAAGATAGGCATTCGCACTCCCTCCTTTACTGGTTCCAAATCAGTTGTGAGTGAAGGGAGGTAGAACAGATACCAGACTGGTATCCAGATTGATAGCTCGTGACTCTGGATATATGCAGGTGGGCTTGTGCAGAAATGATGGATTTCCTAGAGCTCTTTGCTCCTGGGGACTAGGAGTCTGAGGGGCCCATAGTTGGAACATCTTAGAAAGCAGCCTTCTCTAGACTGAGAATAGCTGTAAGTTTGGGTTGGTGGATCTGAGCAGCTCTGTTACCTTACCTTCTTCTGTTTGCTTCTCCAGTTGGTGATTAGTGTGGCCAGGGAAGAAAGAAACTTAATAGTGACCACAGTTTGTGGGTTTTGACCACGTACCTCTGGAAACATGACTCAGTTGAGCCTGAAGTCTTCGATTTTCTTCCCTGAGGACTCTGTTCTCATTGCAGAGCTGAGGTATGGACTCCAGGCCCTGACTGCAGAAGTTAGAGGTGGATCCTGTCCCAGAAAGTACACATTCGGGTAACGGAAGCTTCCAAAAGTTTCCCATTCTTTATCTCTCAAAGATACTGCCCCAACCCAGCACAAAACCCCAAGGACTCAAGGCCTGGCCCTGAATGAAGCATGGGGGGCTGGATATATGTTTTCTGTGTGCCTCTTCTCAGTGGATTCTTTGCATGCATCATCACATGCCATAACTGCAATGGTGCAGGAGGCTCAATCTCCCTAAATAGCTGCTGCTGTGGTATAGGCCAGACAACAACATATGGAAAGACTGGCCTCCATGTGACAGCAGCTCGGAAGAAGAGTGTAAGGAGAAAGGCAACCTTGGTAAAGCAGCCAGAGGGGGGAGTTGGGAGGACCCTTACAGACCTGGCTCTACCACTTGTCAATCACACAACAAAGGCACAGACATCAGCAGACAGTACCTAAGCAGATTAAGGATGGGGTGAGAAGTCAGGTGACTCTGGGCACCAGACCTAGTTCTGCCTTAAAGAGAGTTACTCTCTAAACTCAGATATATTCAGAAAGTAGGGATGACAGTACTTGCCCACTTCCCTTGCTGGACTGTTCGTAAGGAGCAAGTGAAGTAAAGAATATCTGTGAAGCTCTGCCTAAAGGTCCCTAAATAGAGCCAGAAACAGGAAGGTCTGGACCTCTCCTACCACTTCCACGAGCAGCAGAGCTCAGCCGGTGTTCCAGTTGCTCCCGTAGGCGGTCATTGATGCAGATGGACTCCTCCAGGCGCTGGCGCAGGTTCCGGATTTCACCAAGATGCTCTTCCAGCAGGTCAGCCCCTGCAGCCAAACCACCAGGACATGGAGAGAGGTGGGAGATGGAGAATCCTGGTTACTGATGGGGGTGGGGCTCAGCCACGGGTCTTGCAGAAAGACACGTAAATATCACTAGCCTTCTGCCAACTGTGTCATCTCACATGGACACCCAAAGGAATGGTAGTTTTGTTTAAAGAGTAAATGTGCTTTCAAACACATAACAGTCACTTGCTAAAAAATCTCCATGGGCCTCCTCCCACACAGGGGTCTTGTGAGAGTTCCACATGTTTTAGAAAAATAACTGAGGGCTCTGGACAAGGCCTGTCTAGCATCTGGAAAGGTATGGCCACCTCCTGGGTGTGACTATGAGGATGATAGGTGAGCCCTCACTCTACCTTTCTTCTTACTGACACATGACAAACATTCTTTAGCAAGGGACAAAGCCCTTCCTCCCACCCTTAGAAAGAAGGCCTAAAGTAAAAGTATGCGATCTTACAGTCACCCTATGTGGTTAATGACTGACACTGAATGTGTCCCTGAAATCGCTTTTAATATGGAAGATGAAAGAATAGCCTGGAAGGATCTAGAGATCTGAAGGCAAATTAGAGAGGGGACGACACCCCCTCTCCCCCCACCAAACAAAGGTAAAAGATGCAGAAAAGTCAGAGGGATGCTTACACCAGACATTAACTGCACCATTTTGCTTTGGGCTCAGTCTTTTCCCGAAAATTACGATTGTCTTACTGTTGGACTAAGTGGCATCCTAGCATTTATGAACTTAGCTATACCTCTCCACTTGCTGTGACTGAGTTTTGTGCACAGGATATATGTGCAGGGTCGGGGAGCTGCACCCTTGCACCCTTTCCTGTGACAAGTCCTGACTGATGGAAGAAAGTCCCGTCTATGCCTGGCATTCTGGAGGGGTCTAAGAGAGTGGGCTGCAAAGAGGCCAGGCTGCAGGAAGACGGAAGGACATGAGTGTGAGAGCACAAGAGGTGGGTCCCTGACTTTCCCATATCCCTACAGAGCACTGAGGCCCTGGGCAGGAGAATAAAGAAATGTACTTGGAAAGGACTGAGCCCTGATACAGCTCTTGCATTTTATACCCACTCTGTGAGCCAGAGATGGAGGAGGAATCAAAGACCTGCCTGAGTAGGAAAAGAGTAGACTCCGAATGAGACTTCTTTTCAAAGGCTGCCGTCTCCACTTTGTGCTTTACCTGTGGGTTTGGAGTTAAGCTGGTACACAGAGGAGCCCGAGGATAGGTCCCCAGATACACTCCCTTTCTGAGGCTTCATCATGTCCCACTGGCCACTGCTGCCCAGGTACCCAGGCTCCAGGATTCTTCCCAGTTCTATGGTGCCTCTTGGAGGAGAGTGAGGCTGGGCAGAGTTGAGGTAGTGGGAAGAGCCGGCTTCCAAGTCGTTGCTCGACAATGTAGCTGTGGAAGCAGGAGGAACGGTGCTGGCACCTGGGCAGAAAGAAACACGAGTAAGAAACAAATGCAGTGTCAGAAGGGAAGGATTTGCAAGGAAGTGTGTGATTGCTAAGAATAGAGACTAAAAGGAGACCCGTGGAATGTCAGAGATCCCAGTTCACTGTGGTATACTAATTAGACTAAGTCTCGTAACCTAGAGGTTGTAACTCTCACCCTTTGTATTTCCTGGCAGCAGACACAAGAGGTAGAGAATAAAGTATCTTAAAGTCATCAGTATACACAATGGAAAAGTCCAGTGGCCCCACTCCTGGCTCCTACTATAATCTTTCATGACAGACTCCAAGGAAAGTTCTAAAAGTAGGATTCACTCCCACAGTTAGAAGTTGTGAGAGCAGTGGCATACAGGGTTGAGCTTACCTGTGAACACGAACATTTGTTTGTCTACATGTACTTGCCTTCCCCTGAAACTAACCAGTCCATATGTCAGTTCCACCTTGGAGTTTTTCAGATGAGAAAGGGGACATGAAGTCAAGCTGGATATGGTGTCCCTAGTTCCTCCAGACTGAAGAACTCTTTGCTGAGGCTGGGGAAGGGTCTATGTAAGGCAAGTATTCATTTGGATCTCATCCAACATATCTCAAGGAGCTGCAAAATGTCATGACTCCTGTCTAAAGAATCATTGAATACTATTCCACAGAGGCAGGTAGGACCTTTCATTTCACAGGCTGATATTTTCATAGACCCTTTGAAATCATAGGCCTTTCTCTTGAGCCCCGTCATCTCCAGTTCTCTGTAAAAAGAAGCCCAGCATAGGGGAGATGGGGAAAGAGGTGGGCAGAGACACAGTTTAGGAGAAAATTCAGAAGCCTGCTTTCTTTCAGGGATTATGAACATGGGCAGCAGAATAGACAGGTAGCTGCTCCTAAGCAAGTGAGGTCATTGTCCCTTCCAACCAAGCCAAACTCCTCGGAGGGGTTAGTGTAATTGCCACTTGCCAGTTTTTAGCACCACTTGTAGCTAGTTCTCAAATTTGGGTACATATTGGAATCACCTGAGAAAATATGGAAACATACTGATTCCTGGATTCCAGAGATTTTGCTTTAATCAATATGGGATACATCTTGAACAATGGATGTTTTAAATTCATTCTAGGTGATTCTAATAGGCAGAAGTTTGAGAATTGTTGTCATGAGTCTCTCTTCCAACTTGCAAAATACTAGATGTTCATTAGGATCACTTAGTTAAGGAAGAAGATTAAAAATTTAAGCACCTACATTTTAGAAGAGATGCAACAAATACATGATTTCCTACCTCTTTCAAACTGCCTTCAACCCCATCTGAACACAAGGCAAAGGGGGAAATCAGTGGTTGTAGACAGTCAGCTTACTTTTTAATCAAGGCCATGTGAGGTTTTAAGTCTATCAGTAACAGTGATCAGTATTCTCATGTTCCAGTCCCTTGGCCACACAATACACAGTACATGCTCTAAACCATGCAAAGATACCATATAGACTCTTGCACAAGATTTTAACCCAGGGACCTGAGAGGCCACCATGCACCATTGTCCACATGGAAACTTGGCTCAAAGCAAACGATGAGCTTGGATAAGCAATGGTCCCTTGGAGAGGACCTTGACTTCAGGTGGAGAAAGAAAGGGCTACAATCTTCCTCATCTAGGCAGGGACCATTTGAACTCCGGTCAATGGCCTCAGACTTGATGTAATTCTAATTTAACCCCAAACAACAGACCCTACCCTTTTTCATGGACAGTGCTCTCCTTCCATCCTTCCCTTTGGGCAAAGACAAATGGACAAATGTGGAAAGATAAAGGAAAAGGAGGCAAGGGGAAGAAATGGAAGCTAGAAAATACTCTTGCCGTTTGTCATGGGGCACATTTGTTGCCCATCCATTGTTGGAGCCAGAACTGGTAAAGTAACAAGTTTTAGGTTAGAAACACCAGCATCTCCTACTGGTCTCTAAAGAGAGGGAAAAAATTATTGCAAGGAGTCCCCGGAGTTTGATCAGTTGAGCTCAGCCCCATACTCTAAGCAGGATGGTGACAAAGCCATCCTAAGTAGAAAAGATATAACAGAAACATGAAACCTGGAGCAGAAGACCAGATTCACGCCCATTTCTCCCACTTACTAGTGACCTTGAATAAGTAACTTCACTTTCCTGAGCTTTAGAGTTCCCTGCACTGGACAAAATATCCATTTCCTGGGTTGACAAAATAAATAGGCTACGCCAGGTGCAGTGGCTCATGCCTGTAATCCCAGCACTTTCAGAAACCTAGGTGGGCCAATCACTTGAGCTCAGGAGCTCTAGACCAGTCTTGGCAACATGGCGAAACCCTGTCTCTACAAAAAGTACAAAACTTAGCCAGGTGTGGTGACACACACCTGTAATCCCAGTTACTAGGGGGGCTGAGGTGGGAGAGTTGCTTGAGCCCAGCAGGTCAAGGCTGCAGTGAGCCGAGATCGTGCCACTGTACTTCAGTCTGGGTGACAAAGTGAGACCCTACCTCAAAAAAAAAAAAAAAAAAAAAGAGGAAGAAGGAAAGAAATAGGCTGGTCCACATGATGACATTTGGGGCTACAGGGAGGGGGATGCAAATTCTTGGCTGTTGTCTTGCGTCACTGGAAACTGCTGGCATGGTGACCCTATCAGTCTCTGGCTCACCTAAGCTTCTTTACAGGCACAGAAAGCGCCTGACAAATGAGTTTAAGTTCATTCAAACTGCTTTCTACCTGTTGTGCTTAAGGTGCTATGAGAGAGCAAATTCATGTGAAGGTTTATCATTTTTTTCTAAGCTATCAGTGACCACCAGCACACTAAATTTATGATGAGCATCCAGCCTACAAGTATATCCAAGCGTTTTCTAAAAGGTGACTGTCCACGGTCTACGTAACTACATAAGGTCAATTATCTTTGGGAGTCAGAGGATGGGATTCACAGTCAGATGCCATGGCTGGTGCTGTGGTTCTAAGCTGCCTACGTGTCACCTGTCCCAGCACAGGGATGAACCCTGTGCAGTAGGAAAAGTGACTCATCGTTTCCTCTCCTGAATCCCTCTACCATTACCCTTTTTGCTCCAACCTAATGATGTCAGGAACTGAACTTGATTACCAGCATTTCACAGCAGAAAAATCTAATAGCCACACAAAGGATCCCACTGAATGTGGCCATCTTTTTCTTGGCCACTTCATCCTGCATAGGCAAAGCATAACATCTCTCTCCCATCCCCTATCAGTGAGCAGTCCACCAGTCTGTCAGGGATTCGGCATACTTGGTGGTATCCAGCGGTGTCTACAGTGTGAGAGCACTAGCTCTAGAGCCTCGTGAACGTATCTACCTGTTAACTGACGAGACATACACACCAGAGAAATAACAGGAAATACATTTCCAAAAAATAAGCAAGCAGAGCTTTCCCTCAGTCTTCCATTTGTAACGTGTACCCGTGTTGCGTTTTTAAACTCTGCCATCCAGCCCGAGCCATGCAGAGCAACACAGTGTGGGGCTGCCATTCGCAAGCACACAAATGCAGAAGTGCTCACTTTCTCCCAACTGCTTCTGCAGCATCTGCAGCTCCTGCTGAGCCTCAGCCAAGGAGACCACCGGTGTCTCACAGCAGCCAAGGAGGGGAGGGCCAGTGGGGCTGAAAGGCAGGAAGCTGGATGGAGCTGAGGGCAATGGTGCCTGAGGAAGGCTAGCCAGCTTGGGTATGGAGTGAAAATGAAAGCCTAGGAACAGAAAGTTAGGGAGAAAAGAGACACATCATCAAGAGAAAATGAGAGAAAAGAATGGGTAAAAGATTGAGAAGGTCAAACCATACCCTGACCAGACATCACCCTGTGTAGTGGCTATTACCTTAGTGTGGTACAGGATAAGATAGCCAAGGGTGACCATTGCTACCAGAGAGGCTGGCCTGGTTGACCTTTCCTCTTCTCCCCTGCCAGGGCTATCCTGCATACATCCTCTATGTTCATCTTGAAAGCAATTGGCTAAAGAAGGTAAGGTGGCATTATTGAGACCCACCCCAGCAATCCTGGGCATGGACAAGTCAGAGAGCCTGAATCCTCTCAAGAGCCCGCGGGGCTCTGCTCCCAGCATATATCAGTCCTTGGCCCTGGGACAAGACTCTTTCTCTACCTAGAACTCCTCTCTGATGGCACCAGGTCCCATCCTGAGTAGGAGAGATATGAACAAAGCTGTGGGGAAATTTTCATTACTAGTGCATGCAGTTCAGGACTCTGATGGAAACAAACTTCAGAATTCCAAATCAATGCATTCATTCACCAAATTAAAAATAGATGCCTTGGTAGAGTGGCTTAGACAAAATGGCCTGTAAACCCTTCTGGGCATTTAAATCACATAGCAAAAACTCTCAATATATGTAGATTCTTTAGGCCTTCTTGATTCTGTCTAGGCCTTAATGTAGACTTAGAGAATTATAAATTTTTGGAACAGAAAATTTGCATTAAAAAAAGTCTTCCCTGGTGATCTTTAGGCAGCCCATCTACAGACAGGTTTTTAGAAACCCTGGCAAGTTTCAATGTTTAAAATTGTTTCCTCTTCCCTAAAAGCAATTAAAAGGCAGGTACCCAATGGAGGGGGAGCAGAAACCAAGGCTGACCCATAGAGAATGTCAAATGTAGAAGACAATGATTACATCCTAAAACACATCCCAATGGTGCTGACACCATTTCAGATGAATACTGCAGATACACTCAAATTGCCAGGTAACACAGCCCAGGCATTCTTTGAGGAGGCATTCTGATTTTTAAATCCTCTCTTCTTCATCTTCTGCTCTGTTTGAACCCAAAACATTTAAGCAGATGTCTATAATTCCGGAAGCACAGCTTTTCCTCATGATTCTTGTCCAGCTGCTGCCCACTCTGGCCTAGAAACTTTGAAGCCAGGCTCAGGAAGCACTGGAACACTTCCTCTTCCTTAAGATTATGATTGAATTGCCTTCAGGGAAATGAGGGCAGCAGAAGAAAGCACTGTGCCTTCTGGGAGCATCTCTACTCAAGTCAAATCTCACAACAAACCACACTGAAGGCAGCCAGCCAGCTATGGTGGGAGGTAGGAGGTGAAGACAAGGTTTGCCTTTTCCTTGCCATCCCTGATACAGGGCTGTGAATGAGCAGTGTACCCTCCGGAAACTAAGCTGGACTTGTAAATGAAATGCACCCCTTTAACTGCCCCCAAGATATATACTATGTACATATCAAGGACTGCCAATCCATTCATACATCCATTAATGGTAACGTACCATGAACAGAACCTTGTCTGAGGCTGTTCTCAGCATCCTTGGCTATGAAATAAGTAGCACTACCTCTTGCAAGAGAATCACCATGCAGATTTAATGGGGAACACATACAGTGGATCAGGAGATGTGAATTTCTTTTCATCCTATGGCTGTTGTAATCCTGGGAGAAATATTTTGCCTCTTCGCTCCCAGGATAAAATGAGAGAAAACCAATAAAAATGTTTCTTTTTAAATGATTAGCCAACTGCTGGTCAAAGCTGGTACGCAGATCAAAACCTGATGTGGATTACTTATTTTCTAATATATTTTCTTAGACACAACTGGCGAATGAGGATGGTTTCTTGATTCTGTCTAGGTTTTGATGCATTTAGGCCCCTAATAGTCCAAACCTCTGTCCTTGAAGAAAAGTCAAACAGGCAGCAGAGAAAGAGGGGATGAGGCTTCTGCCCCATTGGCTGTTGCATACCTGAATGGGCCTGGTTGGCCTCCTTGGGGGGATTCTGGGGAGTTGGCAAGATGATGGGGTTGCTGCTGGATTCGGCCTTAACCCCCTGAGATGCACTGGTTGATGATGGTTTAGAAGATAACACAGCAGAATGACTCGAATGATGGATGGAATCTATAAAACCCATGAATGAAAGAAAATGTTTGATGTTCTACAGAGAACTGGAATCCTGGCCATATATTTACCCAGGGATACCAGGGCTAGAGTCTTGCTTTCAGGGAAAGAACCAAGCATAAGCACTGTTAGCAGTTGTTCATTTTCTTGCTTGCAGACAGCTCCTATAGTGAGGCAAACCACCTTAGGGATGATAGTGGTGCTCTGAGCTCTGAAACATGAAAATGGCAACTCCAAAAACATCAGGCAAGACCAGCAGCATCTGTGGACACCCACATATACTTAGGGAACACTGCTCAGGAGTAAGTAGCAAGATCATTGCAGGAGAGATGAAGGAGGTTTTCCATCTTGAAGAAGATCTATCCGACAGAGTCACCAAAGAAGAGTCTGCCGTGATCTTCTCACTCTCCCCACAATGGCTCACATTGTGCCCAACAGCATGTACACGCCCATGGAGGCCAGGGTGACAGAGGTAACGTGTAGAGTCAGGAGCAGAGCAAAGATCCTGATCCACTGGTGCCTGTGCATGGCACTTGGCCCCACAGCCATGTTCAGCCTGATACACACCATGGTGGAGCTATAAGGCCTGTTTCCTGAGGTCTCCACTCAGCCTAGACAAAGACGGTACCACCCAGAAAGTGGAGGCTACCTGAGTGACCGGGAGAAGCTTTCTTCTCTTCATAGTGTGTGTACTCGCTGGCTATGTCCATGTCAGAGCAGGCTTCCAGCTCATCAGACAGGAAAGAGGTGCTGCTGGGAGAGCGGTGGGAGTCAGACAAGGCACGGCTGCTGGAGGGTGTGAGGGACCGAGCATCCAGCTTGGCCTGCAGGACTTCAATGACTTTCTCCTTCTCCTGCAGCTCCCTGCTGAGCCTGGTGGGGAGAAGGGGGACAACAGGTAAAACCAAGGTCACCCAAACCAACTTGTCCTGACTGTGGCTCATAGGAAAAGCCAAGTAAGCCAAGGGGACTATGCCTGCAGAGAATAATGGAAATCACCCACCTCTGCTTAGGGATGGAGTGTAGGTAGGGTGTAGATGGAGAGAGAATAGCTACCCAGTGCTCTGGCCACATAGTATGCTGAGGGCAAGCAAAGAGACAGCTAGCCCTCCTTTTAAGGCACTGCTGCTTAAAGTATGATCCCTGGAACAGTTGCAGCCTGCGAACTGTTTGTTACCATCTCCAACAAGACAAGTATAAAAATTGAAAGCAAGCATTGAGAAACGCAGAGCAAACCATTCTCCCAACATCCAAGAGCATGATAAGTGGAATCATGTAGTTAACTGAATTCAGACCATGTATGTTTCTATGATGGATTAGAAATAAAAACAAAACAAAACAAAAAACACTGTGTCCTTCGCTACAGATATTTTCAGAAGCATTTATGAAGCCTGAGACACAATCATGACCCAAAGAACCCCAACTAGTGGCTACAACTGACTTTGAGTCGTATTTCATTGATCATTATATGAAGCAACTCACTGAGAACTGGGTCCTGAGGCACTGCAGCCTCCTGGTGATCTACACCATCTAGGCCTCTTTCACCAGGTCCTGTTATATGATTCCTTTCTTCCCCCAGGGCAATTGAGTGACTATTAAACTAGCTGTCAACCCAACTTGGGCCAGGCCAACTTTGGAAAAAGCTCATCCTACTTATTAAACACACAGCAGGAAAGCAGGACCCTTAGTGGGTCCTGCTTTTAGCTTGAAACCTAGTTAGTTCACTTTCAGCTCAGACTGTTTCTAGGTTACTAAGCCTGGACAATTATGTGCCAATGTAATTAAACCAAAAGAGAAGAAAGAATTTAGTTAAAAACAATAGTGAGGTGTTCAATGAATGCATGAATTCAATACATTCAGCACTTTCCTTTATTCCCCTTGATTTCTGGAGTTGCCGCCATCCTTGACCCTTTGGGCCTCAGTCCCAATCTCTTTACCAGATTCTCCTCTGAATTACCTGAGGGCCAGTGGCTCAAGTCCAGCTTGATCTTTCTCACTTTTATGATCCTCTGCAAACCAAATTTAGAAAGAAACAGTAAGAAATTAGGCTGGTCCCACTTCCCGCATTACAAACACAGGAGCCTATCTGGAGACAGAGTAGTGAGCATTTCATGCGTGTATCCAGAACAGTTATTCTGGGAGGCCTCAGCTTGGGCCTCTAGAGAAGTGACCCCACTGTCCCTGACCTGCTGGTCACCATGATGACTTCCCCTGCCCTAAATCAGGGTAAAACATTTAAAATATCTTTTGTTCCATTAATCATGAGGCCCTTGCCCAGCTGCCCTGTTGGACGCTCCAGCCTCCATGTCCTGCTGTAGACTAGCTCCCCAGTGCATATGTCCCACCACAGCTTTCATGTAGAACCTGCACAGGTCTCTGAGGAGATGACAAGAAGCCCTGCCCCACCTCTGCACCTGCACCAGGAGGTGAGCTGGGTGGTTCCCAAGTCTGATCCTACTTTACTCCCTTGGATATTCTCTAGAAATTCTGAGTAGAGGACCCCAATAACAACCAATGTAGTCATTGAACTACTGCAGCCAGTGCCTAAACCATGTACAAAAGAGCATGGCGCTTTATCCGTACGTGGAGTACCTGCATGTACATTACCATGCCATATGGAGACACCACAAGGAAAGAGCATTTAGCAAGTTTGTGGCAGCATCCAGGCTAGAGCTTGGGTCTTGTAATTCTTACTTCAGGCCTCTTCCTCCTATAACAAGGCCCTTCCATCTCATGTACCCTACTCCCTCTTAGCACCAGATAGATGCTGCCCCTGCCCCACAGGTCACATTCTATGAGTGGTGAAGTTTCTCTTGTTGTAACCATGGCATCTCCAGCCCTGTGTCTTCTTCTCCATGCTCCCCACTGAGCAGTCTTGATCCTGTATTAGCCCCAGGAAATGAAATACAAACAGGACCCTAAGTTAAAAAATTGCAGTGGAGATGTGGTAGCCACCAGGGGCTGGAACTGTGGGGGTGACTGAGAGTATTCCAAAGCCCTGTGGCCAACTTACTGGTGCTGAGTTTGCTGGTGAGCCTCTCTGTCAGCTGGCTTCCCTGGGCCAGTTGCTCCCGGAAGCTCTGTCCCAGGTAGTAGTCAATGTCATTGCTTCTTAGGAGATCCTCAAAAGATTTTACTGTATCTTTTGCATGCTGGGTGAGAAGATAACAAATACCTCTCCCTTCTCGTATTTTTTGCCGTAGGTAAGATAGTTCCCGGGCCTGATCCTGAATCAGGGAATCATATTTCCTAATGTAGGACAGAAGAGGAAGGAAAGAGTAAGTATGGAAAGAGTGGATGATAAGTTATGGGGCCTTCTGTAGAGAGTTCTATGAGAACATCTCTAAGGAACCACCAAGCTGAATTCCGGCACATAAGCCATAGGAGGTATTTAAGAGTAAATTCTACCGTGATAAAATGTTGCATCAAAAAGTTTAGTGTGGGCCGGGCATGGTAGCTCATGCCTGTAATCCCAGCACTTTGAGAGGCCGAGGTGGGCAGATCACAAGGTGAGGAGTTCGAGACCAGCCTGGTCAATATGGTGAAAACCCCGCCTCTACTAAAAATACAGAAAAAATTAGCTGGGCATGGTGGTGCATGTCTGTAATCCCACCTACTCGGGAGGCTGAGGCAGGAGAATTGCTTGAACCTGGGAGGTGGAGGTTGTAGTCAGCCAAGATGGCACTACTGCACTCCAGCCTGGGTGACAGAGTG